AGGTTTTAAAAGTAAAACTTCTGCATAGAGGGTCTCTGGCAAGGTAAGATTGTGACTCACACAAAATTAGATTTTTGCCCCAAGCAAGTACAATAGACATTTACATGTCATTGGATATATACCCTCTGGATTCATCTCAAGGTTCCAAGCCTGGCCCAGAGGTGAAGATAAGGCATACCTATAGAAACAATAAGTGACCATCCCCTTGTGTTCCAGACCAACATCAATCCAAATAGAAACTTTTGGTTATATCTCTTCTTTTGTATTTGCCACATTAATAATAATTGCATCTATGAATGTGTTACCATTTTTCCATTCCATAGATATGTCACACTTCTTACTTGTGATCTAATATAGCAGACATCACAATCCCTTTCAAACAGCTTAAGTTGTGTAAATCATGTTTAGACTTGATTAGAAGATTGTGCTTGTCCCATTCTAAATATAATAACAATGAGGTGTAATTATTAATCTGTGGGTAAGTATTAATGTTTCTTTTGGATATGATACTGGAACACAAGGGTTTTCTTGAAGGCTAATGGCCATTGACATATCAAAGAGGGAATCTAGTTATGATATATATAGCAAATTAGAGAGTTAGTTTACATTAAACTAGACATACAGGCAGCTCGAATGTAAAATTCCACACTTTTTTTTATCACACGGTCAATTCATGTTGTAAACCTTTTGATCTCTAACAAGTGTCCAATTCATGTATGTACTACACAGGTTACATTAAATAGCAATATTCTATACAACATACAACAATGAACCTTTGTACCTTTGCCGTGACAGTGAGTAGTTCCAGTATTAGAGATATTTGCTAAGTAAGTGTGTATCTTTGGTATGTGAATTAAGTGATCAATATTAATTATCTAAATTGGATTTGATTTACTATTTTTGTGTAAATAGTGAGAGGATGTTCTTGTATTGCACAATATCGATCCTATTTGTGACCATGCCATTAAGATGCAAGATGTTAGCATCCTAATATTTTTCTGAGGTTCTACATGAAACTTTATACCCCAAAATAATGGAAAAATAATAATAGTTAATATTTTAGTCTGGGCCCATTTTTCTATTAGCGAGATGTGGACAAATTTCAAGCAATAAATGTCAGACTGATCATTTCAGCCACAATGAAATATCATTAGAAGGAAATTATAGGAAATGATTGCTGAAAATGTAATATGAAGCAAGTATGTGAAATAAACTCAGAGCTTTGGGAAAGATGTCGTAAAAATGGAAACACATTATGTTCCTGGATCGTAGTACAAAATAATAAGAACAATTCAGGCTGCAAGTTCTGCGGTTTGTAAAAAAAAACACAAAATGTTCTAGATAATTAATACATTGTATGATTTAATTTGATTTTGTGTTGATTCCATACTTGCAGCTCATGTTCCTGCATTTCTTGATTTTTTTCATTTAGTTATTTTTATGTGTTCCCACCCCACTGCCCCCCCGAGTGACATCATTATCCCTTTCTGCGTGACTTCTGCCTCTTCTTTTATCCATATGTCATTTGGTTGTGTATTCACATGTGCACAAACACATTTTTTTAGATGATGAAACTGATTAGTGTGTAAGCTCACTTAAAATAATCTCTTTATATGGCTGTGCGTGTTCACACAAGTAACATCTGTATATTTACTCTAAAGTGATCTAAACAGCTAGATAGCAATATTGGATTGAGGGGTAGGGCTATGAAATAGGATGTTTTATTTTGTCTCCAAAAGTAAGCAGGCTTCCAATATTAAAGGACCACTCTAGGCACCCAGACCACTTCAGCTTAATGAAGTGGTCTGGGTGCCAGGTCCAGCTAGGATTAACCCTTTTTTTTTTTTTTTATAAACATAGCAGTTTCAGAGAAACTGCTATGTTTATAAATGGGTTAATCCAGCCTCCAAATCCTCTAGTGGCTGTCTCATTGACAGCTGCTAGAGGCGCTTGCGTGATTCTCACTGTGAAAATCACAGTGAGAAGACGCCTGCGTCCATAGGAAAGCATTGTAAATGCTTTCCTATGAGACCGGCTGAATGCGCGCTCAGCTCTTGCCACGCGTGCGCATTCAGCAGAAAGGGAGGAGAGGAGGAGGAGGACAGGAGGAGGATCAGAGAGCTCCCCGTCCGGCGCTGGAGAAAGGTAAGTTTTAACCCCTTTCCTCTCCCCAGAGCCGGGCGGGAGGGGGACCCTCAGGGCAATATAGTGCCAGGAAAACAAGTATGTTTTCCTGGCACTATAGTGGTCCTTTAACTGAAATAATCTTACAAAACACGATTACATATAATAATATAATTACATGCTATCCACTTAGTGTAACATTTAGTGGGATATTGTATTCACTCAGCAGGATCTTGTACAATTAAAATCCCAAATGTATAATCCTAATGTAATGCATAAGATGTTCCACAGCTGTAAGATCTCACCATGTCCTCTTTCAAAATTCCAGGTTTATTTTTATAGACTCTTAAAGTCACATTCTCACAATATCTCAGAAACACTCTGTCATGTCCATTTTCAGAGACACACTAGCAAACACTCTCTTATAGACACATTCAGACACTTACAGACATGCAAAATAAAAATGAGGATCCAGTACTTAAGGTAGAATAATGCAGACTTTATATGGATATAAGCACATGAGATAAGGTTTCGACCACACCATGTGGCCTTTGTCACATCATCAGTAGAATAGCATGGTGGAAACGTCATCTCATTTGTTAATATTGGAATAAAGTCTGCATTATTCCACCCTGAGTGCCCTGATTCTGATTTTTACTTGGATTGGAGAAAGAGGATTTGCAACCATGGCTCCAGATTGTACCCATGGAATGGAGAAGTAAAATAGTACAACAGTGTGCAGTTCTATTGTTGAACCCAGGAAATTTCAAATACAGAACATTTCTTTCAGCTGTAGAATATGGAGAACACTCATGGAGTCACCATCGGGAAGAAAGAGTGGACATATAAATAGAAGGGCCAGGTTTTATGCTGCTTTTTCCCTAGTCAAGGGATTTCTTATATCACTGCTTATTATTTTTATATTGTTTTTAACTGTTTGGTCACTGAAGATGTCCTGTACACAGGACAAAATGCACAGGACCTATAGTTGCCTTTTATTATTACTTTATTTTTATTTGTTGTATGCAAGAAAGCACTTTAATTTAATTTAATAATATTTGGAGTCCAACCTTCTATACTCGTACCAAGGTCAACATCTAAGTAAACGGGTCATGGATTATCCCCTAGCATTCTAAGGGAAGGCACCCTAAGGTGATATACAACAGTCTTCTTTCTGTGAGTGCAAAGCTGCTAGCATATATATTGCTTTTTTACTGTATGACACTATTGTATTTTTGTTTTCTGTAGATCTTCAGCTGTATCCTCTATATTGGTTTGGTTACATATCCTTAGAGGAAGCTGTTATAACAAGATAAGTTTATTCTCTTACCCCACTTGTCACTTAAACCAGTGACGGTGTAGTTTATGTGTGTTTCTCTGTGTGTTGCCTTTACAATGCCAAAGTTAGGGACATTTATTTATTTGCTTGTTTATCAGTTCTTATGCAGTGCTCTTATCCGGAATGCTTTACAATTTATGCAGATAGAGGAAATATACACTGCTCAAAAAAATAAAGGGAACACTTAAACAACACAATTTAACTCCGAGTCAATCACACTTCTGTGAAATCAAACTGGCCACTTAGGAAGCAACACTGAGTGACAATCAATTTCACATGCTGTTGTGCAAATGGGATAGACAACAGGTGGAAATTATAGGCAATTAGCAAGATACCCCCCAATAAAGGAGTGGTTCTGCAGATGGTGACCACAGACCACTTCTCAGTTCCTATGCTTCCTGGCTGATGTTTTGGTCACTTTTGAATGCTGGCGATGCTTTCACTCTAGTGGTAGCATGAGACGGAGTCTACAACCCACACAAATGGCTCAGGTAGTGCAGCTCATCCAGGATGGCGCATCAATGCGAGCTGTGGCAAGAAGGTTTGCTGTGTCTGTCAGCATAGTGTACAGAGCAGGAAGGCGCTACCAGGAGACAGGTCAGTACATCAGGAGATGTGGAGGAGGCCGTAGGAGGGCAACAACCCAGCAGCAGGACTGCTACCTCCGCCTTTGTGCAAGGAGGAACAGGAGGAGCACTGCCAGAGCCCTGCAATATGACCTCCAGCAGTCCACAAATGTGCATGTGTCTGCTCAAACGGTCAGAAACAGACTCCATGAGGGTGGTATGAGGGCCCGACATCCACAGGTGGGGGTAGTGCTTACAGCCCAACACCGTGCAGGACGTTTGGCATTTGCAAGAGAACACCAAGATTGGCAAATTCGCCACTGGCGCCCTGTGCGCTTCACAGATGAAAGCAGGTTCACACTGAGCACATGTGACAGATGTGACAGAGTCTGGAGACACCGTGGAGAACATTCTCCACCTGACTGCTATTAGGTACCGAGATGAGATCCTCAGACTTCTTGTGAGACCATATGCTGGTGCGGTTGGCCCTGGGTTCCTCCTAATGCAAGACAATGCTAGACCTCATGTGGCTGGAGTGTGTCAGCAGTTCTTGCAAAATGAAGGCATTGATGCTATGGACTGGTCCACCCGTTCCCCAGACCTGAATCCAATTGAGCACATCTGGGACATCATGTCTCGCTCCATCCACCAACGTGACGTTGCACCACAGACTGTCCAGAAGTTGGCAGATGCTTTAGTCTAGGTCTGGGAGGAGATCCCTCAGGAGACCATTCGCCACCTCATCAGGAGCATGCACAGGCATTGTAGGGAGGACATACAGGCACATAGAGGCCACACACACTACTAAGCCTCATTTTTACTTGTTTAAAGGACATTACATCATAGTTGGATCAGCCTGTAGTGTGTTTTCCACTTTAATTTTGAGTGTGACTCCAAATCCAGACCTCCATGGGTTGAAATATTTGATTGACATTTTTAAATTTTTGTGTGATTTTGTTGTCAGCACATTCAACTATGTAAAGAACAAAGTATTTCAGAAGAATATTTCATTCATTCAGATCTATTGTTATTTTTGTGTTCCCTTTATTTTTTGGAGCAGTGTATATAGACACAAAAGAGAAGAGGACGCCTGCTCATTAGCTTTAACCTGCTAGGTACTATGTAAAACAGCCAGTGAGCTTAGAGGTATAGAGGTACCTAGTATATATCTTTAATTCAGAGACCTGGACATTAAGAGAGAACAGAGACACATAGAGCTGAAAAACACCTGCACATTTTATAGATTGTACTTGAATATTGTAAATGTTTTCAATATAAATTATGTATATTAGATAATACCATCCAATACACACACACATTGGATGTTATTATCTAAAATAAGCTTTTGTTTTTACTTTCTTTTTTTGTACTGTATATTGGGTTCTTATTTAAACTTAAGTTTAAGTGCATTTTTCCTTGTTGTTGTTTCTACTTTCTTCATATGAGTTAGAAACAGTAATTGCGACTGTGTATCAGTTAACTGGAGGTTGTTGCAAAAACAAAAAATATGAGAACTCTAAGAATGGACAAAAGCTTAGAGAAACTCAGTAGCTTGCCCTTCAGTAAATCCCCGCTCAAGTCTCAAAATAATTTTTGCTCACTTGTGCCATTACAGAGAGAACATATGTGAAGCATATCATACCCGTATGGGCAGTCAGAACCGAAATGCCAGCAAGTTCCCTCTGCACGAGAGATACAGCAACCCCAGGCAATTGTTTCGGCCTTCTTTGGACTTTGTCAGTGAGGTGCAGCTGAAACCCATCTAGGCACAGTGAGCACAGGGTTCACGTCTGGGTTACCCTTTTTTATTCATTGGGAGTTGTTGTCCCTTATTTAAATCTTAGTCTATGGGGGAAGGGGGTGAAGTTTGTTTGTGTGTTGTGTGTATAACTCCCACAAGTGAATGCCAAGACGTAGACCAGCTTTCCTTGTTTGCAGAAGAGTGGTTTGCATAGACTTTCAAATATTTATTTATTATAGTGACAATTGTCTGAAATTCATAGTGAATTACAAATTCCTATGAATCCTGGATATTGTAGGAAGGCTCTTTTCAAATGCCTCCAATTAAAGGACCACTATAGTGCCAGGAAAACATACTCGTTTTCCTGGCTCTATAGTGCCCTGAGGGTGCCCCCACCCTCAGGGTCCCCCTCCCACCGGGCTCTGGGGAGAGGAAGGGGTTAAAATCTTACCTTTCTCCAGCGCCGGGCGGGGAGCTCTCCTCCTCCGCTCCGCCTCCTATCCACCTCTTTGGCTGAATGCGCATGCGCGGCAGGAGCTGCGTGCGCATTCAGCCAGTCTCATATTAAAGCATTCATAATGCTTTCCTATGGACACTTGCGTCTTCTCACTGTGATTTTCACAGTGAGAAGCACGCAAACGCCTCTAGCGGCTGTCAATGAGACAGCCACTAGAGGCTTTAGAGGCTGGATTAACCCATTTATAAACATAGCAGTTTCTCTGAAAGTGCTATGTTTATAAAAAAATGGGTTAAACCTAGCTGGACCTGGCACCCAGACCACTTCATTAAGCTGAAGTGGTCTGGGTGCCTAGAGTGGTCCTTTAACATAAAGAAATAATATTTATCCAGAAAAACATGGTGGGTGTAACAAGTCAAATTGGTTGTGCAAGTGAATGCTTTTCACCCGAACAGGCATCACTTCACACAGGGTTATCCACTACAGAGAGAATTGTTGGGAATTGAAAGTGAATTCAAAATTTAAAGCCATAAAAGCCAATATGGATATTTGTGACCAAGTGGCTACTAAAAAGACTGGACATACCCCATATGCAATAACTTGGATTGTCTACTATTGCAAATGGTATGCCATCATGGGTGTAATTCTCATTCCTGGGCTACCATACGGTCTCAAAGGCAACGTAAGCAATCTGGCAAATTTCAATGTGAAAAAAACTGAAAAATGTAACATGCTATATTTGACCCTGTAACTTCCCAAAACAATAAAAAACCTGCACATAGGGGGTACTGTTTTACACGTGAAACATCACTGAATATAAATATGTGTATTTTATTGCAGTAAAAACAAACAGTATTGTGACATTCACAGTTAAAATGTCACGTAGAACGAAAACATTTTTTTTAATTCTTATTTTCTCCCATTTTTTTAATATTATATTCATATTAAATTATGTTTCATGGCTAAATATTTGATGTTAAATGGAAGCCCTGTTTCCCCTGAATAAAATGATATATAATAAGTGTGGGTGCACATAATTTAAAAGAAGTGGTGAATTACGGTTGAACAGACATATAGTCAAATTCCAGGTTTTGTTTACGTTTTGTTTTGATCACAACGTGTACATTGGGCTCAGTCCTTAACCCCTTAAGGGCTGAGCCAAATGTACATGTTGTGATGAAAACAAAACGTAAACAAAAACTTGAATTTGCGCTATGTGTCTGTTCAGGCGTCATTCGCCTCTTTCATATTATGTGCACCCACACTTATTATACATCATTTTATTCAGGGGAAACAGGGCTTTCATTTAACACCAAATATTCAAGTATGAAACATAATTTAATATGAATATAATATAGAAAAATGGGAGAAAATAAGAATTTAAATTTTTTTTTTCGTTCTACGTGACATTTTAACTGTGAATGTCAAAACACTGTTTGCTTTTACTGCAATAAAATACACATATTTGTATTCAGCGATGTTTCAAGTGTAAAACAGTAGCCCCTGTTACATTTTTCAGTTTTTTCACATTGAAATTCGCCAGATTGGTCGTATGGTAGCCCAGGAATGAGAATTACCCCCATGATGGCATACCATTTGCAAAAGCAGACAACCCAAGGTATTGCAAATGGGGTATGTCCAGTCTTTTTTTAGTAACCACTTGGTCACAAACACTGGCCAAAGTTAGTGTTAATATTTGTTTGTGTGTGAAAAATGCAAAAAAACTAATTTGAATGCCAATTTTGGCCAGTGTTTCTGACTAGGTGGCTTCTAAAGAAGACTGGACATACCCCATTTGCAATACTTTGGGTTGTCTACTATTGCAAATAGTATGCCATCATGGGGGTAATTTTCATTCCTGGGCTACCATACGGTCTCAAAGGCAACGTAACCAATCTGGCGAATTTTAATGTGAAAAAAATGAAACACAAGCCTTATATTTGACTCTGTAACTTTTGAAAACACCATAAAACCTGTACATGAGGGGTACTGTTGTACTTGGGAGACTTCGCTGAACACAAATATTTGTGTTTCAAAACAGTAAAAAGTATCGCAGCAATAATATCGTCCATGTAAGTGCTGTTTGTGCCTGAAAAATGCAAAAAACTTCACTTTTACTGGCGATATCATTGTTGTAATACATTTTACTATTCTGAAACACTAATATTTGTGTTCCACGAAGTCTTCTGAGTAAAACAGTCCTCTCCCCCAACCCCCCCATGTACAGGTTTTATGGTGTCTTGGAAAGTTACAGGGTTAAATATAATGCTAGCAAATTAAATTCCCTCGACTCTCGGTCTGGGTTGTCAGGCAGGTCCCGCAAATTGTAATTAAAGGATCACTATAGGCCCCCAGACCACTTTAGCTTAATGAGGTGGTCTGGGTGCCAGGTCCAGCTAGGTTTAATCCTTTTTTCTATAAACATAGCAGTTTCAGAGAAACTGCTATGTTTATAAATGGGTTAATCCAGCCTCTAGTGGCTGTCTCATTGACAGCCGCTAGAGGCCCTTCCACGCTTCTCACTGTGATTTTCACAGTGAGAAGACGCCAGCATCCATAGGAAAGCATTGAGAATGCTTTCCTATGGACTGGCTGAATGCGCGCACGGCTCTTGCCGCGCATGCGCATTCAGCCGAAGAGGAGGAGAGGAGGCGGAGAGGAGGAGGAGAGTCCCCCGCCTGGCGCTGGAGAAAGAGGTAAGTTTAACCCCTTCTACCCCCTAGAGCCCAGCAGGTGCCCCCACCCTCAGGGCACTATAGTGCCAGGAAAACGAGTATGTGGTCCTTTAATAAAATTACCTAATTATGTAAAATTATTACATAAATATATACGTAGAATTATTATTTATATATGTGTATATATATATATATATATATGTATATAATTTTAAAAAATTATTTTTATTTATGTATAGGTATATATATATATTGATATATACGTATATACTTATGTATATAAATATATATATATATTATTTTGTTCTACGTGTATTTTGATATCAATACACATATTTTAATTTTAAAATACATACATAAATACATTTTATATTACATATAAATATATATATAATGATAATTATATATATATATTTAATCAATATCATTCTACGTGTACTTTGATATTAATATAAAAGATCAACGCTTCAGTTGGTCTTGCAAACATTCATCAGGATCGAACTGAAACGTTGATCTTTTTCTTTGACATTAAAAGTTAATTTTAATTTTTTTTAATTCTTTATTTTTGAAATTTTACATTTTCACCAATGGTTGGATACAGAAGAAAACTTGGGAGTGGGCTTAGTATTACAGAGTTCGTAGACCATAGTTATGCTGTTTGTTACATAGAGATCATTCTAATACTGTTCCTTCTCTAGTTACAATAGCGATCTTTTGTTTACAAAATATTAGTCTGTCCGTTTCCTTAGTTGCTGTTCTAGGTCTAAGGGTTGGGGGGGTGCAGAATAGGAGTGGGAGGGGGGTGGGGTACCCTGTCTGGTGTTGATGCCAGGAGGTTTTGAGTCTGGTCATCTTTGGTTACATATCATATCCATCTTAGCGATTTTGTGTTGCGTCTTAATTGTTCCTGTTGGGTGCGGAAGTCAGGGTGTTAGGTGGGGTTATTGTGTGCTTTGTGGTCGTGTACAGCGTCAGGTCGCGTTATCTTACCGTCGCTGATGTCTGTTGTCATGGGTGGGGGATGGGTGATCGGGGTTTGGTTCTGTGGGTCGGTTGTGTGTGTTTTTAGGGTTGTACTGGGAAGCAGAGGTGTGGGGGTGTGGAACTAGTCGTGGTGGGTGTTTTCTGTGGGGTTCCGGTCTTAGCTGTGGGGGCTAAGTGTGGGGGTGTGGTGTGAGCTCCTTCCTTGTCGGTGTCCATTGTAGTTGGGCCCCTCTGTTTTGGGGTTGCTTGTAGCTTGTCTGGGCAGGGAGGGGGTGTCCGGGTTCCGTCTTTACTTTATCTGTTGTGTGCTGTATTTTTCCGGTGGGGGGGGGGAAGTTAAGTTTACTTTATTTTGGAAGTCCTGAGAGTGCT